AATTCAATTGTAACTATATATTCTCTGTTGAATTTAAAGTTGTGGTCCGATTCACCCTTCTATGAACCAATATGAGCGTCATTGTGCAAAGCGTTTGAGATTCTCACCTAATAGAACTGTATAAATAATCATACTAGATGTCACGATTTGGGTCACATTATATCGTTAGAAAGCAGTACCTTCTATAGTCCAGAATGTTCAGTTTACAATATTGATGAGGGTGAGGATCAACGTTTTTCTTCCATCACCAGGAAGCATTCACATCCACACGCTTATTTTCCAAACCGCTACATGGCTCTCTCAAAGGAATGGGTTTCAAAATATTAAATGAATGAAATGACTTTGTTATGTGTTAGCAAAAGTTATATTTTAAGTGTTTTTGAGACGTCTACATTAGTTATTTCTAGGACGTATATCGGATTCCCACAGAATTCCCAGGATTCCCATGGGATTTGGAATCCTGGGAATCCGCCGTTCCCCCTTGCATTATTTTCTCTTGAATTTAAGTTACCTGACTACTATTGATGCTACATATTTCGTTCTTTCAGTCTTCGGCAACCTTCCTCCATACTCTTATGCTGCTATATCACGCTACACTTAACTTTAGAAGTTCTCTCAGTCTTTCTTATCAGAAGAAAAATCAATTGTCACATTTTAAAATCGTATTCTTGTACAGAGATATCTTGTTTGTCGATACTGATAATTTTAACTCAATCACTTGCAACTCGATGAGTCGTGATCATCTTCTTGAAGGAACAAGGAGATCGTGATCAGCTACTACACTAAGCTTTGCCTGTCGTTTTTTAAATCTATCTGGAGAAGAAAATAGACACTATTTAAAGATTTGGGATAGTTGGAAACATTATCTGAACCGAGTAAAAACAGTGCTTTTAAGTGATTCCGTTCTGGAGCTATTCAACAACTGTCAACGCATTCTGCCTTGAAAAGTACATTTATTGCATTTTCATAGCTAGTGCCTGCTCGTCTGTTCAAATTAAGATTTCAGAGAAAGAGTGAAAACCTCACAGAACGAGAGGGATACAACAAGAAAATGAAAGTGTCACCCGTAGCGATGCTGCCAAGGGAACCGAACAATCGAACATCAGATAGCGACGCTCAAGCATTTTTAACTTCAATACAGTAGCTATGAGATTATAAAGAAGTGCAAAACCATAGATCGGCAGGTTCTTTGTCGGCGTTGTTTTTGAATTACGCAGTACCAACATTTCAATGGTTGAAGCAACTTCGTGCTAGTAAAAAGGGATATAGTTTCGCTAGCAATTCTATTGAGTTATGGCGCTATATAAATTACGTTTTTAAAGGTTTCTTACTCGACACAAAACACATGGTTGTACCCGTCTACAGAAAACTGAGTTTTATACCACAGTAACCACTCAGTAAGATCTATGTGTGCCACAACTTTCAGATCACCAACATGATCGTCCCATGTGTCCTTTATACGTATAAAAGAACATTATGTTGCAACGACAAAAAAATGTATTCTAGTTGCCCTTTATATAATCATGCAGAAAAGAAGAAAAATTTGCCTGAAGTAGGGGACCATAAAACTGCACATAAAAAGAAAAAGAAAAAGAAAAACTACTTTCCATCAATTAAGAACGCTGCGAACGGGTCTGTCACGTAGAGATGGAAGAAAACACAACTAAACAATATATTTTGTCGATAGCAGCCATTCATCCTAGGATTATGGGTGTGGTGTTTGGATTTGTTTACAAGGCACTCACATTCTAATTTTCAACAAAAATTCTCGTTATAAACACCTATCACAAAATGAAAAGAACGAGAATAAAATGTTTCGAAAAATTGCCGTTAGATTTCAGGTTTTGATGCTAGGTGTTGCATTAAGTCTAGTCCCCCCTCATGCGTATGAATATTAGCTAACACCTGTGTAAAGGTTGAATAAATTGCTTCATCCACGTATTTATCGATAATATCTATTGTTATAAGCAAAACAATTAATATCCAATATTAAACGAATCATTCTAATAATATGATCAATAGAGAGAGAGAGCCTAATTTCCTATCTGGTAAATCAGTAACATCAATTGTAATAAATATTGTCGAAGATTTCAAACGATCGTCAGCTACATAGTGTTCTAATTTTGGAATCACATCGATTCCATTTATAAACGTTGTTTTACGAGCAACATGTAGAAATATAGGCTCGTATAAATCTGCCAGGCTATAGAAACAAAAAGAACGAAGAATAAAAGTCCTTCGATATTGATAATTTGAACATTTTTATGTTCACAATGTACACGTATCACCTATTTATTTTTTCCTGTTTTTAAACTTTTGTGATTCCTCGCAATTTTCTTCTTACTGTCATACCTTGGTCAACTTCTTTGAAGAAAACAAGGGATTATCAGTGCCATTTTGAAACTTTCTCACCATGAAAGTTCAAAGATAATCACGAATCTTAATGGGAATTTGTGATCAAATATTCTTTCTTAGAAGTTCCTTTGCGTTAACTGAATAGTTCACACACGAATCACATTTATCATTCATGATCCATAGCGCTTCTTGTTTTTAACTATCCTACCATGATATTACAATAAACCAGTTACTAATTTCAGTTCAATTACTCATGCACATTGAAGGAACCGTAAATAGGTAGAAATTTATAGCTTGGGTTGAATCTACAACTCTAAGAACTGACGTAGATGCATGAAGAGAGAAAGAAGAAGAAATTATGGCCAAACTTTCTCTAAAAACTCTTTGCCTGTTAATGCCAGTAGGTAAGTGTTTTTTTCACTTTTCTGCTTTTATTTACAATTTCTTACATGAAAAAATAACTCTCCTTCCCAGATACACTTTATGAGAGTTTCTAAAATTGTGAATATTATGAAAATTTCACAATTCTTTCGAAGATGATTTTAAGAGATGAAATGCCAGTGCACCAGCTATGAACAATTACTAGCGGCAAGATGTTTATGAACTTGAGAATGGTTCGAATTTCTTGACCATTTAATAGTTAATGAATGCTGATCTTCCTCAATCAGACATAAATATTGTTTTAGAATTGAATCAGAACGACTTAAAACTAGTTGTTTTTCATCGTTAGTAGTAGTTTCTGCCCATTGTTCAAGCTGTTTAATTGAATTCAGAATATTGTCATAAATTGAGTGAAATTGCATGATGTCCTCATCAAACTGTTGGCTAGATTTATACTGCTTAGGACATGGCAACACACGACGTTTAATCGTTCCTGAATAAAACGCAGCCAGTTCATTGTACACTTTCAGTACACTTCTGTATAGAAGTGATGTTTGATTCGACGGAGCTACTTTCTTCTCGCCATTTTCCGCTATCTGCTGTGACTGCGTTAGTATTTCATCTGCTATTGTTTGCACCAGGCCTTGAAAACTACATTTCTCTCTCCATTCGATGGGTATAGCATTAATTCCGTAATAAGCTCCTGCTAGCATGCCATAAACTGCTCCAACTGTATCAGCATCATTGCCTAAATTTACTGCTTTCAGTGCGCCTTCTTCAAACGAATTTGTGTGATAAAATGCCCACAAGGCTGCTTCCATTGTTTCGATAACAAAGCCTGAAGCTTTGATCTCAGGCGGATTGCGATGTTTGTATGAACCATTCATTACTGCTAAAACAGGCGACTCAAGTAGTGAGGCTGCTTTTGTCGTCCAGTAATCATGCGATAAACCAGCTGGAACATATAATTGATCACTATTCAATAGTTCCTCTTTAGTAGCTCCTTGTAAAGCGCCAATAATTAAGCCCGTATATACTCTACAACTATCTAGACATAGTTGCGAAGCATGCGTAGTCTTGGATGAATTTATTGCTTCATTCATAGCATTAAGAGGATCGCGATGATATAACAAGGGAACAGGTGCTAATCGCATTAATGAGCCATTGCCTGATGCATGGCTACTTGTACTTCCATAGTAAGCATCAGCACTACTTAATTTATCACTTTTAGCTTGATCACAATGAGAAACAAATTTGTTTAGAGCAGCTCGCACAGTCATGCCTATGTCGAAGCATTCTCCAGTTGAAGATAAATAACCAGATTCATACCAACGTCGATATAAATTCATTTGTACAATTGATGGATGAATAACCGGATTATCAATTTCACTACCTAACAAAGCGAAAGCTAAACATAATGCCATTGAGCCATCATCAGTAAATTGTCCGGGCTTTAACTGAAATTTACCACCTCCTCGTAATGTTTTCACTTGATCAAACGATTCGGGAGACTGACCTTCTACAGCTGCTCCCAGCGAGTCACATAATACTAACCCGAATAAGGACCCGGAAATACGATCTGACAGATTAACACTATTCACAGACATCAAAAAATAGAAGGAGTTAATTTTGGCCCGGAAGTTATTTTCAGTATGATTATACGTTGCTGCACAACTGACTAGGATGAACTCATATTCGGATCAATAATTCATATGCTAAGAGTTTTGTGATTTTATTGAATACGAGAGTTGAATTTAGTAAATGTATAAATACTTGCGTTGGATGCTTGTGAAAAAATACGAGTGACACCACAGGACATTCGATAAGGGCTCTATAGAATAATTTTTTATTCTTTTCTTCAAAAAAAAAACGAAAAGCAATATCAAAACAGGTATGCTATCGTCACGTTTTTTTTCTTTCCTATTGCTGCATGTATGACAGCGTGGTTGTGCAATTCGTGCAAGGTTGTAAGTGAGTGAAGGGTCTCGTCAGTTGGCTTGAATGATGAGAGAAAGCATTATGATCACAAAGTGTGACTATTGGTATTTGTGTTTCTCTATCACCGGGTACCAGTATCTACCCACACCCACACCCTCAAGTGCATAAAATGTAAGCGATGTGGCAAATAACAGATGGACTACGTATCAATGCCTCTATCTAAGCACTTCGATTGGGTGATGGGAGCTTGAGAGACTAGCTCCAGAAAATTTGAAAAAGGTACAATTTCATGCCTAAGTTTTAAGATATTTTCGCGCGTTTTTCAAAGCTTAGCAGTACAATCTGTTACAAACCTAGTTTTTAATTATCAACAAAATGTCTTAGGACAAGTGTAGATTTAGCGTGTTCTGTTTGATATGTATCAGACAACCATCTGAAAACAGTTGCTAAAAAATCTCTGAGTTTTCTGTTAAAATTTTAGCCTTCATGTACCAATAAGCACATATCGCACTCTTAAAGATGAACGAAAATCTTGCAAAAGGAACGTGTAAAAAGAAAATGCAGCATGTACAGCTTACACTTTAGTTTTTTTCAGCGTGTAAATTCTATTTCATTAGGGTACCGTACATTTTGTTTACTCAGGTAGACTCTTTAATTAGAAACTATGCCTAAGACCAACTTGAAGTATTCCCTATTAAGATAAGATCGAGACATATAAACTCGAGTTTCTACAGTATAAATTTAGCATTTCAGTTGATATATCAAGAAATATGGAGATATGTTGAAAGAATTTTCGTTCAGCAAAGGAAATCATAAATATACTCCTTCTTAGCTTTCAACAATGCAAGCAGTTTGTTATTTTTAATTTTACAGAAAAACCAAGCATAAATAAACAAAATATGAATTCTGAATCGGATAGCTAATTTAATTCGAAATATCATTTGATCGCAGATCTTTTTTATAAGCCGAAATAGAGATTATTTTTAAACTTCAGTCCAAAGATATCTCGAGCACGATGTTTTCTGTTGACCCTTAAAACTCTCGAACTGTCAGGAATGATTTTCACAGTGCAATATCGACATGCAAAGGCGTTTTGCCACATTAGCAGAACAATAGAAAAAAACAGACCTTACTAAATTATGTACTGTTTTCAAATCTAATATGAATAATTATTGATATTTTATCAACAACTTGCAACTCAACTCATGATCCTTCATTGATGAAAATATGAGCTTATTTTCGTGAGTAACGGAGAGTCTGGAGTCTTGATAAGTTTGCGATGGTGATCGATGTGCTATTTTTAGTAAGTAAAGCATCTGCTTTTGAAACTTTCAGGAAGCAATGGTCGCTCATAGGAGAACATTTTCTGAAAGTTTTAAATTGATCCACCAAACTGTTGCTGAGTTATGGACCTTTCAATAGCATTCTACTGTTTTTGTATATGCATGGTTTCAATAAAGATGGCCTAGCCCATCAACAATTTGATAGACTTCGATAAAATCTATATCAGACATAGGCATAATACAGGAGCACAAAAAGATGGATTGGTCGACTAAAAACGATCTTTTGATTCTAGAGTCACGAGATCCATAATGATCGTGGGCGCCATCTATTATAAAACCGTTCTGGTTTGAACAATTTTGGTACCGATGACCTGCATTCTCTTTGATCTACCTACAGACTAATTTTCAGATATTTAGCTCTCACAGAGACTAAGATCTGACGGGAGAATATTTTTGGTCAGTAAGATAATATATGAATCGAGCAATGGAGATTCAATAAACGTAAATAATATTTCTTTACCAATCATCATATAAAACATAAACTTAATTGAAACTTGAATTTGTTTTTCAGAATTCTCAACAAGTTACTGTTCATATGGGTGCGTTGATCAACCAAAATAGTGTATTACGTCAACAAAATACTCATTTATTTGAAGAATTAGATACATTACGACTTGAAATAGCACAGCAACAAATAAACTATGATCAGCTTTTACAAAAACTTCATGTAACTTGTCAACTACCCATGTTCAAGAAAACGGTGCGTAAACTGCCGTAAACGACGCAAAAATGGTATAAAACGTTGAAAAACGGCGCTGTTTTCCGTCAGCTCGGAAAACGGCGAATATAGTGTTAAAAACGATGACCGTTTTCTAGCGAAAAAACGGTCCGTAAAACGAGCTGACGGATAACGGCGAAATAAGGTGAAAATTAATGCCTTATTATACCGTTTTATAACTGTTTCATAGTTGTTTCAGGCCTTTTCAGATACTCGTTCCGACGGTCGGAATGATTGCCCTGGGTAGAAATGATGAATTAAATAATCAACTTGATGACTGTCTACAAGAATTAATTAATCTAAAAAACGAAAATGATCATATTAAAGAAGCATTAAATAATCTACAAAGAGACATTGATCGTGATACACGAAAAGGGTGTGGGTGTGGATGTGGATGTTAGACATGCTTTTTATCACACACCCACCCACCCACACCCACACCCAAATACATTTGAAAATGTTTAATTAGAGAATTGAATACAAATAACTTTGATCACGTATAATTGAGCACGAAACCAAGCACATGGCCCAAATAAGTCGAAAAGTGCATCGAAAATATTGCTGGGGAAATGTTAAAGTAAATTCGAATTTGAATAAATTTTCCATCGTTTGAACAATGCTCTTTTCTTAAATTTAGACATAGATCATTACCATTAGTGTTGTCATGATCATTGTTGGAATAATCATGAGTATGAGGAAAAAATAATATCTTTCAAATAGATTGAATATTTTGTTTTAGTTTTGATGATTTTTGGAATTATTAACAAATTTATTGATTGAATTCGATCGTGCACACGTTTGTTCAACGAAGAATTTTATGACTTCTTTTTTGTCTGCTCCTGATATTAGTTATCTTTACGATGGAATAGAGTTTGAGTATCAGAGAAAAGAATATCAACACCCACCCACGCCCTAACACAGTTTTATTATTCAAATTAATACAGTTTTATATATTCATTCATATTCGTACAGGCGTCTTGTTTTAATTTTTTCTATTAAAAATGCATGGGAAGTAGTACCTATCATTCCAATTTTATTCGAGCATTATGTTGATTATTGAATGGAAACTTTTCAATATTTTCTATTTAATCAAAGTGAACTCGTTAATTTTGATTCATTCAGCAAATATCCGTGTAAATAGAAAAGCTAACATTCATTAAATTTCTCGTTAAGTCGCATAAATTATAGACCAGAAACATAGATCGATTTTCCAAAAAACAATGATAGCATGTGATTTTTTTGGGCATAATTACATAGTATATAAGGCATAAATATCAGTTCGAATGCATCGTTGATGGAGAATATATTTCTTTACTTTTAGCCTTCACTAGTCGACGATCTTGACTTCGATCTGTCCAGATTCTTGTTTTCCTTGAATATCAGACAAGATTCTTTGTAATCATAATATTCAGACAAGATTCTTCGAGGCAGGAAAGAAACAAGATTCTTGTCTGTTATTCAAGAAAAACACAATCTTGTCTGATTGATCAGATAAATAAGAATCAGGCAAGAATGGCAAGATATTCAAGATTTTTTTAAATTCAGGCAAGAATCTTGTTTCTTTCCTTTCTCAAAGAATCTTGCCTGTTATTCAAGAAAAACACAATCTTGTCTGATTGATCGGATAAATAAGAATCACGCAAGAATTACAAGATATTTCAAATTTCTTGAAATTCAGACAAGCTTCTTTTTTCTTTTCTTTTCAACATATCTTAAAGAAAAATATCACGTGATGTCTGTGTATATATAGTTATAAATATACAGAAATTTGAACATTATATATTTTTTTCTAGATGACGCGCTGACGAACTATAACACATGTATTTTTTGAATAAATTCTTTTGTTCAATCGTTTTTCTTTTATTTTTTTCTTCTTGATTTGTTTTACGCGATATGAATTTTTGTATATTTCCTTGCACATATAATGTACTTTTTTTGTATTTTTTTTAATTCGAAATTAAAATATAATAGGACCGAAAGGAGGCAACCGTATGGATGCCTAAATAAAATTTATCTGTATTACAAGGATTTTCTCAAAATAGCAAGAATTGTAAGAAAACAAGAATCTTGCCAAAATGGCAAGAAACAAGAATCATGCCAGAAAAGCAAGAAACAAGAATCATGTAAGAATTGCAAGAACACAAGAATCAGGCAAGAATACAAGAACACAAGAATCTTGCCTGGCGGGACATTTCTTGCCTCGCCAGCCAAGATTGTGTCTACACGAATCTTGCCAGAAAGTCAAGATCTGTTTTTTCAGACAAGAATCTTGTACAGAAGGAATGGCAAAAGAATCTTGTCTTATATTCAAGAAAAACAAGAACCTGGACAGATCGAAGTCAAGATCGTCGACTAGTGTTCGTTTTATATTTGTATTACAACAATACTAAGATTGCTTTTCGTTTGTTTATTCACTAACATGAGATAATACAAGTATACGAAAAATAAAGAAAGAAGAATAATTAAATGGTATTAATTTCTTGTAAAACAAAAACAAATATGTTTAATTTCTGTAAGAAATACTTCTTGAATGATCGTTATTGAATAATGTTATTTCACAATTCGATGTTCTACCCTTAACATTTGGTGTTAATGTTGATCCACTTGGAAATGGTGACTGTGATTCAGATAAACATTTCGTTATTGGTGTTACATCAAAATCATTGTTATTGATTGAAGACGGACTGTTGGTGAAGCTAATATTATTGATTCGGAAGATTTTCTTTGTGTTTTTAATTTTTTACAAGCAGTACGTAAAGTTGATAATAAAAGACAATGTACACATACAAGAATACACATAGGAATAAAACGGAATATAATTTCTTTACAGAGATCAAAATATTTATACGCTTTTGTTTCAGCTATCGATGTTACTGTAAGATTACTACATTCACTAACTTTATTAACAAGAACTGAAAATAAAAAGCATATTACAAATGTTATTAATATACGATTGGAACTAAATAAACATTGTTTGGGTGTGGATGCAAATGAAGTATGTAATTTGATTCACATGTCTCAACTGGAACTTACACCCCACAGCTCACACCCACACCCAGTGATACCCACGCCCCAACGAGTATGGATCATTTAAATAAATACCCAAAATATGTTTCTAATGTTATTTTTAGCTGGGGATGCCTCGAATTAGCAGTACCTTTTGGTATTCGATTGAAATAGGCTTTGGAAAAATTTGTTAAGATCATTTTTCTCTAGTGGATAATAGACTTTCTAAGTACATATTGCATCAGATTGTTATTGTTGAGGATGCGGCTGGTGGGGAAGGAGAGACCCACACCCACGATAACATTGCAGAAGAATACGACGAATTGTTTCGTTCGATTGAACATCATAGAGTGTTAATGATTGTAAATGAGCAAATTGATGTAGAGTGAAACCGTGCGAGAAGAATAGACCAATTTGATGCGGAGTATCGTGATCATCTGATAGGCGAAGTGCAACTATTCGATCGATCATTGATGGAAGATGTTGGCGACAAATAACGTCGAAATCAAATTTTGATACGAATCGAAAATTGAGACCATGACTTAGAAAATGAATAATCAAAAGTGCATCGTAGTGTTAGCTCTCATATATAGATATATAAGGAAGGGAAGGGAAGGAAGGAAGGAAAGAGAGATATATGAAGAGCGAAAGAGATAAAGCAGCGTCACTGATGGTATGTGATAGAACGATGAAAAAGATAATGACCTTCATGGGAATCGAACCCACACCTCCTGCTATCCGGGCAGTTGTCCTAAGCCAATTAGACTAGAAGGCACATCTTGTTCATCGTTGTAGCGTTAGTGTGATTCATCACTAACGCTAACACGTAGCGATAATTGAGATGGGAAAAAACGTATAGAAGATGAACAATTTTCAGATATTTGAAGAGTTCAAGGAACAGCTCGTTCGTCAAACGCTCGAGAATCATCTCTTTTCTCTTCAATTCGATGGATCAACAGAGAAATCAATGGTTATGCATAAGTCTTCGAAATGACCAAAAAAAGATGAATCGTGCTAGAAAACGAATAAATGCACTATCTTTTTCAACTATTAGCTTTCTCTTTTTCATATAGATGTATGATTTTATGGAATGCTATAGAAAAGGTTGAAACTAAAAACGTCGAAAAAAAACTGACCGAAAGAAAAAACGTTGAACGTACAAAAATACCGGAAAAATCGAGAATGGTCTAAATAAACAATTTTATATGGAATTGTATCCTGTTGATAGCTAGAGTTATGTCATGATATTTTGCTGATTGTCGATCGTATGACACGACTATATAGAGCGTTCGGGTGTTGGTATTGTCGCTTAGAGCACCGACATCCTTACTCGTACCCTCACGCTCACCTGTAACCACAGTTTAACCCGCACCGTCCCTTCATCCTCGTTCATACACACATTCATACTCAGACCCTCACTCTCATCTTCACCCGCACTCATATAGGTCTGATTTTCAACGAGTTCTGTTTTAAAAGCATCAATAAAGTTCTTTACATTTTAATAATCTAAACTATCGTATATTAAAGTTTTCGATATTTTTTTCGATCAAACTATCATTCGACGTTTTTATCATTCCACATTTTTGGTTCGATCTTTTTTTCGACCTTTTTCTATACATACCATTTTATCGGACCTCTTCGCTTTGTTCTCGTTTATTTTCGCTTCATTGATCCACGTGCTACCGTGGTCAGTTACCGTTTTTCCTTTCTAAACACCAGTTCTTGATGGTGTGGGTCATCTGTTTCCGGACAACCCCTCACACCCACATCCACACTCTTTAGTCGCCAAATAGCAAAGGTTTTATTTTAAATAAAACGAGTACTTCATGTGATTTTGGTATAAAATACAAATAACCATTTCGATTTAAATTTTATTAGGCATCATTTTTCTATGTTGCCATTGTGCTATATGTTGCTTTGTTCGAAGGTCGTTTAATAAAGGAACTACTATATAAAAATGTTTCCTTTAATATATTTGATGGCAATTCTGTATAAGCATTTGTTTTTATTTGATATACTATAATATTTGAATAATTGTTAGAATCAATAACAACTTATGTGTGTTGAGTGTGGTTGCAGGAAATGGCATCATTCATGTCTACGCCGACTCCCTTTATGTGTGATAGTATATGGTCTAGAATTTCTTAAATTATGTTAGCTACTCATTATAAGCCAATATATTTTTATGTAGTTCTTTTCAAATTTTGCAACATTACTTTTTTTTTCTTCTTTCTCAGATTTTCGCTTTTTCACATTTTTGTGCATTATGTATTCATTATATATTCATTATATACTCACGCGTGTAATTAAAAAATACAAAAGTTGGTGGTAAAATAAAAAGGAGAATTTATTTTCAAATTTATGAAAAACGCTTCAGTTACTCAATTTAATGAGAAATTCTAGAGGTATCTGTATGAATTGGTTGTCGATCTTTTAATTAGAAAGTCGAAATTTCTTTATTCTCTTTTCTCGAATATCGAAATGCCAAGATAGTAGAAATTCATCTGTGAATCCTTATTAGCATTCGTAGAATATCTGTTTCTATTTTCTATTTTACAGTTTATCACACTTAATAGCTCTTTCATATTGCAAGATGATATTTTCTTTCAATTTCAAAGGAAAAGATTAATGGTATGTTGATGCTATTTTCAAATCTTTAGTGTATTCAGCATTTTCCTGTACATGCAGAGAATTTTTACTAACACATACTATTGAGAAGATCGGGATATATTTTAAACTGAAGGTATCTTGTTTAAAATGATTCATGAAGCGAACATATTGATATGATACCCCAATCATCAAACCACGTGCTCCATTTTGAAGAAGAAAAAAAAAGATGCTCTCATCCAATATTAGTGCATCGACGATTCAGGTAAATAAACTCAGGTAAACGATAAGCGAATGGCCTCGACACCGATAATTACAAAACGAAAATCATGATGAATAAAAAAGAATACAATCAATACAAATCAACCTCATTCATACAGTGACTATATGCGATTGATGCAAAAACAAGAAAACCTTCAATTTGTTTCTTTTGATTCATTTGATAAGTAAAAAGAGAAATCGATGAACTTAAATATAAAATAATATATGAGATTTTCTATTTTACTATAGGGATTATTGAATAATGAGTTTGTTAATTATGCAGCTATTGGATTGGAAAAAAGAGAAGTATAATTCCAATTCTTTTATTGTGCAGTTCGTTCGTTTCAATTAAATAGATTTATCTACATATCATTGATCATCATCATCAAATATTCTATTTCTCTCCCTTTTTTAGAATCTGTGTTAGTTTTTAATTGAAGGTCATGATTGGTTATTCCACATTACACGATTTTCAATATTATGTTCTCATTTATAATACGTACATCTACAATATAAAATTTATCGTTTACGAATAAAGTCGTAGCACTGTTCACTGAAAAAAAAGTCTTATATTCCGAAAGATAGAACAATAAAATATCTGATGGCCGTCAGTGATATATATATATATAGAAAATGGAATCTCTGAACTTTGGTCGACAGTAAAAATGTCGACCGTAAAAATGTCGACAGTAAAATGTCGAAAAAACGAAAAAGTAAAAATATCGAAAACTGAGTAGGTATTCATGAAAAATGTCGTGTTCAGAATTGATTCATTATTAAAAGAGGTTGTCCCTTATTCGAAGTAATGAAATTTAAATCACTGTTGATGTTGCGTGCCGATTCCGTGGCGGCTTCCATATGTATATTTATCACTCGAATAATGAATAATTGAAGAATAATTGTCTTATTCTTTTCTATTACATTGTACTAAGTGACCAATGTCTGATAGACCAATGATAGATCTAAACGAACATAAGTCGCCATCCATCCTACAAGTAGTGACGGATCCAGAAAATCTGTTAGGGGGTAGCGCTCCTGGCAAAAAAGCGGTTTTTCAAGTCTAGTTGAGACAGAACGACTATTTTCTGTTTCATATCTGCTGGAGAAAATCGAAAAAGTTTCTTAAGCGGGTGGCGATGGCCGGGTAGCCTAACTGGTAGATCCGCCACTGCCTACAATAATAACATATTCATCGAATATCTTTTAAAACACTCCTTCTTTTAGATTTTTTAATTTTATTTTTATAAATTTCTTTCGACATTTTGCACTTTCGATATTTTTAACTGTCGACATTTTTACTTTCGACATTTTTAGCTGTCGACATTTTTACTTTCGACATTTTTACTGTCGACCAAAGTTGAGTTTACCAGAAAATGATACTATGAAAATCAGCTTCACTTCAATAAAGAAAATACAGGAGAATATATACTTCACCTTTCGAATTTTGTACCTGCAATATTAATAAACACATTTTTCTCTATCCAACATAGAACCGAAGTAAAATACTAGATGCCTTTTTTTCTTTGCTGTTTAAGCTGATTTTCTCAGTTTATTATATACGAAAATGATGAATAGAAAAAAATTTTAATTTCATCTTTCTTGTTAAGATTTTCTCGCTGTCTTGTTGATGCTCATTTTTTTAAATCTACATTACTTAGTTATATTTCTTTTATGCCTTGTGTTTCATAAATCATTGTTTAACTATGTGCATTCATTTGAACTATTGATGCGTTACTAATGCATAAGCAAGTTTGCTTCAAATTTAATGATAATTCAGCAGTTTCATCACGATGGAGTGAGTTATTAAGGATATGTCACTAGTGCATACTGTTGATGATATGAAGTTGGACTTTGAGTTGAGTGCACATTATTTAAGGTGATACCTAAAGCAAACGTATTCGCATGATACCCCAATCATGTGACTATATACTTTATCGTTTTGAATGAAATTTACTCATGTAGACGATCCGAATCAATAATGATTGAAAAGAGGAAGTAGAGGAACATTGTCAACTATAAATATTAGTCACTTACTTGTATGAGTAAGAAAAAAAAGACGCTGTACAAAAATGAAAAATGTGAGTATATGTGATCGCTACAGATTAGATATCGAAATTTTTAGATGTAGTTGTTTGTTAAACGATGAAATAAGATCATCGTTTTTCTCGAAATTTTCATTTAATCGGAATTCTGGCGTTTCACTAGTCGAAGATTTTGACATCGCTCTTTCCAAATTCTTGCTCCTAACTCAAGAAACGATTCTTGTCTGATTTTTAAGAAGAAAAAGAATCTTATCTGACAAGCAAGAAAAACAAGAACCTGGACAGATCGAAGTCAAGATCGTCGACTAGTGTTACTAATGTAAATAATCTACTCATATGAAAAATAGGTTCAATTTTAGTAAATCCTGAGGAGTATCTCCATTTGATGATGAAGATGATGCTAACGTAAGAAGCACTAGTGAAAATTTAAATCAATGATTTATTTTATTTGTCTCTATTAGATAGATGATCATTGATCATCTCGGGTCACCAATTCAAATTTCTTAGCCGATGAGGATGTTCTATAGAAGAGTTAGTCAATAATGAATTTTCAACAGTACCTCACGTACTTGAAGAAAATATTTAGAAATCATCCTACACGGTAAAAAAAATCGCAGAATACTAAATCCTGGTACTAGAAAAAAAGTTTCATAAACCCTTAAAGGTTTAATGTTTTTGTCCAAAGCTCTAAAAGTTTATTACCTGAAGCGTTTATGAGAATAAGGGTATTTCAAAATAAAAAGGGTTTATTCTTTTATCCTTCCATAAAATAGTTTTTTGTGCTAAAATATTTTCAATCAAATATGCTATATAGATATATAAAAATAATGTTGACTTTTACGATTGATGACACCGTTCATTATTTTTGTAATCAGATAGATAATCGTACAATTGAAATACAGAAAAGTGAAAAAAAACAGAATAGTTTTAGCCCGTTATATGTTGAAATAGCTTGCAATCTCACATTAATAGATTCTCTTTCTTCGGTTAATAAGATCAGCCTAGAAAACAAATGGCACTAAGTTCTACGCAGACGAACCCACCATAATGAAAGTAAGTGTTTACTTTCAAAATCTTCTATTAGTTGATTCTGAATTTCAAGATTATATGAAATTATTATTATTTTAAATAGTTCTTTGTTTCTACAGATTTTTCGAGACAATCCAATGAAATACATCCCAGGTTCATCATTCCGGTTACCACATATTGAGGGAACTGACAGGAAAACACTGGAAATCAACGAAACGTGGAAGCAGTATACGGACAGGAAAATTTTCGGGTCTTTTCCCGATGACTTTCAACTGGTTCTTGGCGGAAAGAAAATAAATTGGCTGGAACGTACCGGGAAAAGCTCCAAATTTCTCGGACCAGAATACTGCTTCCATGTTCCGTCGATTTTCAGGGTTTTCCTGTGAGAACCCGCCCGTATTTCTTGACCGGAGTACTTATTCAATTTTAAATTCAATTATTATTTTTATTCTTTTAGTTGAATGTCAAATAATTTTAATTCATTTTAAAAAATTTTTTCAATTAGATTTACTTCAATGACTCATTCATACTGAACATGATTTTTGACTAAAAGTGAGTTTCCTTAAGCCCGTTAGAAGGGTATTTTAAAGAGTTTAGTAAAATGCTAAACCCTTCTATATACTCTCTAATGCACCCCTTCGAAGGGTTTCGAAAGATTTCCCATACGGTTGAAATGGTTCATTATACGTTGCACTTTAATAGACCCTTAAGCGTTTATTATTCTACGCTAATTTTTTTTCATTGAAGGCACAAAACAGCTGAATTTCACCATGCTTTTTGTCATACGAGGAAATAGTCGTAGGACAGAGGGTCTGATCTTCATCATAAGTCGAAGAAAAGCTACGTCACTAGTGATCTCATAAAATTGCTAATAAATGCGAGACTTGTATTCGAACGAAAAATGTGTGTTGATGGCTTTTCTTTTATTTTCAGATAGTTAAAAACAGAACAGTGATGCCGATGGACGAGGTACTAATGGATGAATATTCTATTTGGGAATGGATCATACAAAAGTTAGTGTTCTTAGGCGGTTACCTCGCATGAGTAATATTTCAGCTATTTTTCAGTTGCAAATGGCTCGGCTTTACACTCGGTGGCTGCTGCTTAACTCCATATGTCTTATTTTCCATTCCTCTTGTGATCATTCTGGCACTAATTTCTCTTTATGTTTCCAATAGGGTTGTGGCACCGACAATTAATAAAGGTACTGATACGTGAACAAAAAGAGAGAAAAGAAGATACTATAGTCCTGAAGATATATCGCGATCTAGTCAGAATAAAAGTAGTTCTCTATGATGGACGCTGAAACTTTCCCACTTTAAGACAATCCACTAGGATTCACGAGGATTTCTGTTGATCTATGTCTACAAATGATGGCATCACCAAAACATTTACAGTTCAATAGATTTGAATGATTTGGTGTTTCCTCTTACCGAACACGTGTTAAAATCAGGAGTCCGAATTCATGCCATGAAGACACACTCAGCCGGCTTAACTCTCATTTGATACTCTTAATCCGTAAAACGATGGGGCATCTGTTATTTAGTATATCTTATAAGACTTTACAAGGACAAATTTCCAGTTCGTTTATATAGAACATAATCTTAGTTATTTCTTTTTTGAATAAATCGTCTTTAAGCAATAAGAGTAAAAAGAGACGGACAAGTGCAATAGATATATGATATGATATGACATAACAGTATCAAAATAGTTGGTGCATGTGGCTATTTTTTAATAGGACGAAAATCGACAGCGATAAAGACTTGCGGTTTTGGCCATTCGATAGAGCGATATCGGCAGCATCTATCTATCTAATACATACTAGATTCTATGTATTTTTCGGATTGTTTTTGAACTGATATTCATTTTGTTGCTTTTTTACATCTAGTTTTTCTAGTATTTCCACGCAAGTTATAGAAAATGAAACGAAATTCATCCTGAATTGCAACGGAAATTATCGAATCTCTGATAAATCCTGTTGGAAGATAAACATCAAAATAACCAATCGTAATATTATCGTGAATATAGTGCGGTTTTCGGTTCATATTTCTATCGTTTGGGTTGTAATACTTGGAAAATTAGATGAACAAAATGTCAGTGCAAAAATAATCTGAAGAAAAAGACACTTAGAATCTAGTTTGCATTAGATAGATAGATAGATGTAACCAATATCGTTCTATCAAATGATCAAAACAGCGTCTCGATCGCTCCCTTTTTTCGAGCTATTTAAAAAATGGCCACACATACCGATTTCTTGAATGGATTATGGATATATACGTAGATTTTGAATGCTAAACAGAGAACTATAGCTGATTAATTAAAAAAAGATTCTTTTTGATCGAACAAAATTGCGTTGAGTACTACTCATAAATATCAGTTACTGAATATTACGAAGTATTATCTGGTAAAGGACAGATGGAAACTGAAAATTCTTACTGTCTTTTTGGTTCATACTCTTTGATAATACTCTTGGACATTATTGCTTTCATAAATATATCTTTTTTAAATATTTTTCCTTGTTTCTATCAACATTTTCTCTCATATTTAGTTCATATCAATCTTGCTCACGTTCGAAATACGAATAATGGTAATCATGTTGAATTAATAAAACAACAACTAGGGAGTATCTTAGAACAGAAATGGTTTAGAATTGTTGATTTGTTGAAGCGCATAGCATATTTATTTATCTTTCCAACCGAAACCATTGCAATATTGAAGATAAAATTTGGTGGCTATATTAAAAAGATGCCAGAAATGCCTCTAGATGAACTGGCACATACACTTAACGATCTTGATTTTTGTTACGCAACATTGAACAAAGTCAGTCGTTCATTTGGAATCGTTATTCAACAGTTGCCTCAGCCATTAAAAGATTCCATATGTATATTTTATCTTGTACTTCGTGGTCTTGATAGTATTGAAGACGATATGACCTATCCTGATGACAAAAAGATTTTTTTATTATGCAATTTTCACAACAATTTGTTAATTGAGAATTGGTCAATAAAAAACGTCGGTGATACTGAAGACTATCGAATATTATTGGAGAATTTTGGTAAAGTCATTAATGTATTTAAATCACTTGATTCTGAATCTCAGTCTATTATATTGAATATTACTAGTCGAATGGGAACTGGAATGGCTGAATATGTCGGTAAGACAGGCTCAATTGAAACTGTAGCCAGTTACAATTTATACTGTCACTACGTTGCCGGTCTTGTTGGTCATGGGCTAGCCGTTCTTTTTTCTCATAGTGGTTTGGAAGACCCCGGTTTACATATTCATGAGCATCTCAGTAACAGTGCGGGGCTATTCCTGCAGAAAACTAATATAATTCGTGATTATCTTGAAGATCTCCAGGCTGGTAGAACATGGTGGCCTAAAGAAATATGGTGCCGTTATGCAATTGATCTTAGTGAATTTGTTAACAATCCTCATGGAGAACGAAGTCTTGAATGTTTAAATCATATGGTGATGGACGCACTTAATCATGTACCTGATGTGATAAACAACCTTGCTCGTGTGAAACATCCCAAAATATTGGAATCTTGCGCTATTCCACAAGTCATGGCTATAGCTACTCTTGCTGAGCTATATAACAATCCTTTAGTGTTTACATCAGTTGTAAAAATACGCAAAGGACTAGCATGCAAATTGCTGCTGAATTGTTCGACTTTGAATGAAGTGTACGCTTGGTTCGATTTCTTTATTACAAAGATTGAACGTAAAATACCAAAAATGACTAATGTGAACACGCATAATATGCACAAACTTGTTAATCGTGTAAAAAAATTATCAAATATAAATTTGAAGCCGTAAAAGTTCTTTTAAAAGCTATTTATTGCAAAGACGTTGAGCGAGGATGTGCTTTGAGGCATCCTACAGTGCATTTCGTTCGTGCTCAAGGAATTCATCAGGTAGCTCAGTCTTTGTAGCTAACTGTTCGACATTGAGAAATTTATGTAGGCCCTATTCATATTGACGAAGGAATTATGTGAACATAGCAATTTGTTTTCTGGTTTCGTTGTGACGAAAGTATTCATACTTTTGGTATTCATATTTGTATAGATCAGTTTTGTGGAGTTTCGTTGCTGATTATGCCAGTGTTTTCGTTTTTCTTGAGGGTGTGGGTGTAGATAAGCGAAGTACAAGACACAAGCATAATCAAATGCTTGTCAGCTAATTCCTCAAGGATAATAAGTTTTTTCGATTGAGATGAACAAGAAATCGATCAGAAAATATCATAATTAAATTGTATTATTTTAATTAAATTGACAGACTATATTTAAAAATATCGCGTTGATTTTTCATTTCCATGAAATGAATAAAGTCAAAACGATAAGTTACGATCTATTCATTATTCTTAATAGATGAATTTTTTTGTTGAATTGACTAACTATAAAGAATGAAACTGATAGTGAGATATACAAAAAGTTTACTTGATTATATTCTATTTAATTACTAGCTGTAATATGGTATATCATTGATGAGGGGTAAGCGAGCGGGACTCCTTTTCTTATTATCCATTGAACTATTTAAAATATATGAGATACGTAAACTAATCCTTCTTGACATAACTGTCTTACATAGAAGATGTAAAATCTAAATATTTTGCCTAGAAAAGGAAAATCTCCGATTGAATCAAGAATATGTAATTAATAATTGTTATTCACTATGATTTGATTGCAAAAATACTATGCGTATGTTTTCATTGTGCACTTCATTAAGTTAATCAAGAAAAAGTGAGATTACAATGAAGGAAAATAAGTATAGAAATCTTTTGAATCTATACTTTTTCTGGTAATCATATTTAGTTGTTTCACTTTCATACACTTGAGTCGTGTTCTTGTGTTGGTGGAATTTCTCCTGATAATTATTAATTCATAGTACCCAATTGTTAAGTTAGTTAGATGTGGTAGATGTGTTTTTTTATCGTTAAGAAATTATTCAATATAACCATGATGAGAAAATCTAAGGTGAAGTTTAGTAAGATGAGAATAATTAATAATTGCTGATATACAATGCTAGAAAAATTTTGTTGAATATCCTCTTTAGATAGCTAAACAATTGAATATCGATACACAAAAACAAAAGTTGAACGTACGAAGTTGCAACATATGAACAGTTTACCATCAATGAAAGTAGATCGTTTGTCAACAGTAGGATATAAACTTATCAGTTAAACAATGGGATGTTAAGTGAAAGCATTTTAAATCAAGTAGATTATCTTAGAAAATATAAATTAATATTTATGTACGAAAGAATTCTCACCAAAAAAAAACAGAGATAGCTCTTCTAATTTTCGATTCATTATATATGTATATGAGAAAAAAGTTATATCATTCGATAAATGTGACTATTTCCACAATATAAAATCATCAGCATATTTATCTTTTTAAGACTCGTCCTATTTGTGTTTTTTTTATTTATGAAATAAAGAAAGTGACTAGAAGCAAGGATTTTTTTCAATCCATTCAAGGGAAAGTTAGACTGAAATAAGTTTGGCCATTTATCAATTTCTCAAACTAGATCAATCTTTCAACTGTATCACGTCAATATTTTCAGTTTTATTTTTAAAACACATTGCTTTCTTTTTTGTTTCGATGAAACTCAATTATTCGATTTATTTCTGTCAGCTGGAGGGTTACGATGTACTAAATAAAAGTGAAAAATATTTAGGATATGATTCTCCAATAATAGATAAATGTTCTTCATCATATAATCATCTTCAAATGCAGGAGTAAGATCTGTAATATGTTGTTGAAAAATGGATATAAATGATGTTTCTATTAAATATAAGAAAAACATTCTCTTTTCTATCTAAAAGAACAATTTTCTCGTAAAAATTGAAGATTTTAAGTTCAGTTATATTCGGATAACCACTAACAAGAGAAATATGCTCCATAGATAATGAATTAAAAACAAGAGATGCAACATTGTAGCGAACTTTCCATAATGTATTCTCGCAGAATTGATCTAGTTGAAGATCAAAAATCAATAAAATATCACAATTTAATGTTGTTACTACAAAATTGAGAATATTAGTCAAAGTATTTTCTTGCAATATGCTATTAAGTCGTTGATTATTAGGATGTGGGTGTGGGTGTTAGACATGTTTTTTTTTATCACACCCACACCCGATGCTCCTGCTTGAAAGTGATGCCGTTCGACAGAGAATCGAATCTGTTGCTAACTTTACTTACATCATACTATGCGATGTAAAAATTTTATTTTTAGAAAACAAAATATTCAAAAACCGATGATTAATAAATCCATCGCGCTTTGAATTTTCTAATCCGTCGTGCAACAAATTTTTTAAATTCAGTTTTATATATTTTAGCTGTCAATACAAAAATAGGAAATGTTGCCATAAATGGAGTGAATGAAATAATTTAAGCAATCAAATAAACATATTTATGCCATTGTTCAGTTATACAAACCAATGTAAACGAAAAAATGACTCGCATTACACTGAGAATGATTAGTCCAAATGGACTTCCGTACATTGGTAGTTGCTTTCGAAATGTTTTCCAATAACTTTTATCACTTTTTTTTTTACCAAATTCTTGTTTTCTTCGAGTTGTTTTATGTAGAAGAAATATTGTTGCGATTAAATTAATTACTCCTGGAACAATAAGATTGATTAAATTAATAATTAATCGATAATTTTTTATCCATTTCCATGGAAATTCAATAACACACCAAGTATGTTCACTTGTACTTCTCGGATCTGAGATTAATTTATGAATAAATAATTCATGCCACAAACTACAAATAATTATAAATGTAAGCAACGGAATAATACGTTTTGCCCACCAAACACTGTTAGGTTTTTTAAATGAAATACCTTTTATTATATTAACACATCGTTCTACTGCTATACATACAATTACCCAATCAAATAACATAGGACATACACTAAGATGATATTCTAAAATGATACAGCTCCAATAAGAAAATTCATGACTACTAACATTATATAATTATGTTATTAGAAGATAAAAATATCGACTATCAAGTATAACTAAACCTATTTGACCAATTAACGGTAAGCAAAATAGATATATACCACAACTATGTTCAAGAATTTTTCCTTGTCTAAATGTAATTAATGACAAGATATTTGATAGAGTTCCAAGTAAAATCATGATAATAATAAATGATAATACGAATTTAATTAGAAAAGATTGCTTCATGAAAGATATGTTTGTTTTTATATCTTGACCAAGCATAACATCGAATGAAAGAACATATTCTGATGTTATTAATTGGCATAATGATCCATATGAACATCCATTACATACGCAAGCAAAATCCCATACACCATTAATGATATTTTCAATACATCGACCATTATTTTTGCAGTAATTTATACTGCATTGAGTTGATTGATGTTGAAAAACAAGACAATATGGCTGATGATATTTATCACGAAAGCATAAAGAAGATTCATCATAAAAACATTTTATGAGACTATTCACTTCACATGCATAATGATAATATTTGAGCTTTCTTCTCAATGGAAATTTTCGAACGGTTTCATTAAGAATAAGTTCATCAACATATGGACATCGATTTATTTTTTCGATTTTTATATTAATTTTTCTGGAATTCCCTTTAAGAATTGCACCAATATAATAATTCGATATATTATTTTGAAAATATATTTCAACAAGTATAAATGTTGATAAATAGTCGTTATTATTATTGTAAACATCAAGTAGTTCGTTTAGTTGCATTTGTTTGTATAGAAAACGATTTTCAATAGATAAAACTCCAGGTAAACCCCATTCTAATTGAAGAAAATATACAAATAAACTCACTAATTCTGACTGAAAATGTTTCGATGAAAGCGATGATGAAAATTCAATATTCACTTGACTTTTCGTTCGTTCACAATAAATTCCGTAGTAACCTTCTGGACATGAACACACAAATTTTATTAATTCACGCTTGTCTAATGGTAAACATGTTCCACCATTTTTACATTGAATATGAATACATGGATTAAACAATACTCGGCATTGATTTCCCATCCTACCTATTGGACAAACGCAAATCAATGGTATTTAACGATAATTTAAAAAAAAATATTTGTTTGATTGAAGATCTATGAAATATTTGTTCATGATCAAAAACTTTATCATCAAGTATTAAACGAGCAATTACGAGAATAATATCATTTTTATTTTTATATTTCGATAAGCTAATAGGTATATCGATTTTAACAGTTATTAAAATAAATTCTGATTGATATTGACATCTGAAACCATAGTAACTCGGTGGACATAAACATTTTTTATTTGATAATCGCCATTGAACGATAATACCACGATTGCAATACCAATTATTAGAAACCGTTTCTTTTTTGAAAGAAATTTGTTCTATTGGAAATGTTTGCTTAATGGTCATTAATAATTATAATTTTTGACGAATTTTGATTTGTTAATGGATGTTCTTCAACATTATTTAGTAAAAATTGGGATTGTTTTGAATAAATTAAATCACAAAACCATTCATCTTCTCCATCCGGTTGGCAATCAATTATTTTATTACATTGTTTTCTTACTCTGGGAATATATGTACCATTTTTACAAGGAAAGAGAAGTGAATCAAAGGTTAAATTAAATATCCATGGACACATTATCTCATCATCAGAATGTTTACAATCAGGATATCCATCACACAAATAATATACATTGATATATTGTTTAGAAAGACATTTAAAGTTATTATAGAACGCACTAGAATATATATGTTCTCCTGTTTTTCTTTCATCTGATGCTCCTAAACAGTCGACAATTCCATTTCCTGCATATTCTTTTGATAAACAACCAATAGTTCCATTTTGATATGCACAATAATGTTCATTTATATTACATTTAAAAATATTTTCTTTCAAATAATACGATATTGTATTTGGACAATAGATTTCATCAACTCCATTTGAAAAATCCCAATAATCATCACATTGATATGTTGACCATTCGTCACAATTTGTTTCATCTGTTTCATTATCAATTGCAAATTTAGTATGATTTTTTCCATTGCGATTTTCTCGAAATATATTATAAACGGATGGAATATAAGTACCTCGTATAAATTGGCAAGCGAGATCTAATGGTCTTCTACATTTTCCAACATATAACTGATAAGATTCATCTTTACCATAACCACTGTTATATGAATAAACGTCAGAATATTGATCATAATAAAAAATAAAAATGCGTACCATCCAATTATTATCAGTTTTACATTTAAAACGATCCGTTAAATTAAATGAAGACATTATCGGTAAAATTATAGCATCGTTTTCATCTTCTCCATAAAAGCAATCTTTCCTTGAATCTCCTATTCGATATTTTGAAATAAACTGTTTCGATTTATTACAATAAAATAATCTTTTATCTTCAATTGGTATATTACAATAAGAAAATAATATTTTGAGATCATGAGAAATGGAATCAGACCTTTTGGGAATTGTTTCTCTTTCAATACAAGTTAAGTCATCAATAATTAAATCACTAGCAGATAGAAAATTTGAACAAGATTTATTCTTAAAACATATATGAGTTGGTTCCCACCATTTAGAAGAATCTATCTTTGCTTTATCAAAAACAAATTTAATAAATGGATACACGAAATTAGCCCCAGTTTGAAAATAAAACAGTGAAGGACAATATGTTTCGAAATATTTCAAACATTTTAGTTTTTCTCGATTGGATGCTGTACAACGACATAGCGAACTATCATAATCAAATAAATCGAAATAATATTCATCTAATGTACATAGCATTAAAAACCAACATTGATTATTATCGTATAAAGATGATAGAGAAAGATTTCGCCGATAAAATGAGTCGCGTTCATTGACACATAACAGATCATAACCTTCAATAGGGGCATATTCTCCATCTCCACACGAAAATAAATTCCAACGGGACTGACTAAAATCACAGAAAGTCATTAAAGATTGATAACATTCACTTGTTTTAATTATGATTTCATCAATATCAAATTCTTCATCGGCCATATCTCCACAATCATAACTGAAATCAATAAAGAATGATTGTGGAATACACATTCCATTGAAGCAACGATATTCATTTTCTTTACATTTATTTATTTCAATGGAAAAACAATCTTCGAATTCATCTTCACCATTTTCACAATCCATAAAACCATCGCATATTTGTCTCCAATCAAGACATATTGTTGAATTGCATTTAATACCTTCATAACATATCAATAAATATTCATCATTCAATATATCTTCATATGATAATTCGTTTTTGCTCAGATAATTAGTTAAAATAACATCAGAAAATGTTATATTAGAGGAAATTTCATTAAATGAATATAAACAATCTTTTCCAAAATATTCTTCTAAATAAAACTATTGATTTTTAATATGAAGAAAAAAAAACGTTTCTAAAACTAACTTGAACAATTGCAATAAAAATAATTTTTCATTGAAAAATTATTTTCAATTGAATATTTTTCATAATTATCGATTGTATCAACTGGAGCGTTCCATTGAAAAAGATCTTCACCAGATATTCTTTTCAATTTTAATTCTTCAAATGTTAATTTAGCATTTCCATAACATTCAAATTGATTTTCAAAATCATCTTCACTGATGCAATAACGAATTAATATCCATTCATTTGTTATATTGTTTATTTCATTCGAATACAAACAATCTTTTAAATCATTTCTGTACAATACATCTGTATTGTACAAACGAAATAATCCGTTCGCTTGTATAAATAAATTTAATAACAATATTAGCGTGCCATTGAATATCATCTAAAGTGAATAATATTCCAACTTTATTGTTTACGGATTTTGACTCTGCCTTCGCAGAGAGACCTAGGAGCAAGATCTTTTTCTATATTGCAGATAAATTCGTAAAAATAATGTTCACTCTTGAATTCAGGTAGTAGCACTTTTCAGAACGAGTCACCTGGCTCAGTCAAACATCTTATTAAAAGAAATAATTTATTGATAATAGAAGATGTAGAAAAAGACAACATCTGGTGTTTTGAGCTACTTCTATCAGCGAAACGTTTTTTTATTACTAATTAATTAACGCAGTAAAAAAACTTGTCATGCAAAGTTAGAAGGTGCACCTCTATAATTGGAGATATCGCGTAGTTTGTAATAGTCACTATCGGGTTTTAATAGTTTGCAATGTATTATCTTTGGATTAAATAATAAATTCAACTTATCAACTCGTTGGTTTCCTAAGCTTCTTTAGGAAAAAAGAATTTCTTAAACGAAATATTATTCGGCTCTAGGCGAGACTGCGCCGGACGAATGCAGAGCTGGGTCTAGTATTCCATGACCCATTTCGAGCCTTGATACTTTCTCCTTCTTGATAATTCAGTATAACCTGTTAGAACAAACAATTACTATACCGTAGACATATGAAGGAAAGAGTAATTTTAATACGTAGGAATTGAAATCCAGCTTACTGAATTGCTTCATGTACAATGTTGACAGAATATCTCCATTGTCTTTCAAATTGCGTATATGTTAAAATAGTGAGTATATCGTGATCTAGTTAAAAGTCGTAGTAATGAGAGCAACGATGAGAAAAAATTGAAGAATCCTGACTTTTTTAAAATTTATTTACTGTCTTCATTAAATGAAGTCAAATACACAGAACGTGTTTTTTTTAATATGTTTACTTTTTATTGTAATAAAATGTCGTATCATCTATCGAGATAACTTATGCTATCAATTATTCTATGCACGTTTTAAAATTCATGGTGTAGCAGATTCATAACAAATTTATTAAGGAGTCTGCCATGGCAAATAATAACTCAGGTTGGCAAATACAGAGATCGGATATAGCTACAATGTATACTAGCGTGTGCGACGCTGTATGAGGCAAGAAACCATCGTATTTTCTTTTATATGTTCGCAAATGTTCACTTTTAGAAAAAATATGGTATCAAAAGATTCAACTAGCTGTATTTTCCTCTCGCCCTATCGTTGAATACGGTCACCAGATACGGGCCGCATTATTCTACCAGGATCGTATTGCGTAAGCAAACTTATGTATTAAAATGAAATAATTAAAATCAATAGAAAATTCAAATAAGGCTAGAAAGTAAAAGTTATAGTCAGTATTTTGAGTATATCATATCATCATTTCAGAAAAGAGAATAAAGATGGCTTCAATTGGCAGAAATAAAATTTGCTAGATTGCACATAGAACCCATCCGATTAAGAAACTTTTGTAATTTGTAGATTGTTCTGTCTTACGTTAGAAAAGTTTTCTTTTATTTTTAAATGCACACTTATTCAAAGTTAAGTTATCATGTTTTCATTATCGATATACATTAACGAGAAACAAATAAAATGTTGTAAAACTTTTTGATATAAGTCCTATTTGAAATAGATTGTTTTATCATTTTAGTTAACTATTCAAAATGATAGTTAATAGTAGCTTTTCTATACAACTTCGGATAATGCGCATTATCTTATGAGGTACGAAGTTATTTATAAGATGATCAGGGTGTGTGTATAGGAAGCAACCACGATGCGTGGCGACTCTGTTTATGAGTCTCATCAGGTGGCTTCCCACGTTGTAAAAATCGCTTAAAAATCGACGATTTTATCGTGATTATTAGCCTGATTAATCGTTTTAACTCCCATGTAAATATTTTTTGCCTCGAAACGCGTCTGAAACGCGTTCCATTTGCGTGCGAAAAGTACGGAAGCGAACGCGTCTAAATGCGGCTCCAGTGAAACAAACGAAGCGTTTTGACGCGGCTGAAGGTAAAATCTCGTTCAGACGCAGTTTTTTGCAAAATCAAGGGTAAACGTGTTTTGAAATAAAAGCGCGTCTGAACGCTTCGAATGTTTCACAGGGGACGCGTTTTCAAAGAAAACTGCGTCTAGACGCGTTTCATACAATTTATTGAAAATTATTGAAAAAATTATTTCAGCTCGTCTCAGGTTTGATCTGAGTCACCATCGATATTCTCTATCCATGATCTTTACCCTACTGTAGGTCAATGAACTGTTAGCATATCGACATGTCGATGAATCTGAAATGATAGAAATGAGATTAGAACATGTGAACCAATGATTAAGAGACAAGTATACGTACCGCGCAGCCATATATGACTACAATCGTTGTCGAATGGCATGCAAAGTCTATGAGGGTTATGAATTCATATAAAACTTACAAATGTATAAATGATAGTAATGTAGAAAAAAATATAATTTTTACGCAATTATTAATTGCAAATATACATATTTGCTAGAAAAAAATATTTTCACAAAAGTAACTTTTATTTAATATCTTTTTTTAATTTCGAAAACTTCATGGGACAACCTTTTCCATTTAAGGCAGGATGTGTAATAATGTTTTTTTTACACGAAATCACCAGTGTTACTATCATAGTTCGACGTTTAATAT